TGGCACCACGGGTAGGTTATTTGGCATGCCCGCTTTGATATGGAGAGAGAATCCTGAATCGAGGAGTAGTCTGGTCTCCTGCCGGCGCGAGACCACACAGACCATTTTTCACTCTGTGGCAGACAGCAAAGCAACGTTTCACATGTCACAGGCCGACGATAGCTATGTTCCTCGATCTCATGAGTCCATTTCGTTTGATATACTTTTTTGGAAATGCGTCCTGGTTGTAGATGTGTACACTGTGTACCATGTATCATATTATTATTATTTAACACTTGACCAATGTACAATTGGTAATGCCACAACACATGGTTAACAACAACAAAAAGGGGGAAAGGTGTAGCCAATGAAAGGATTTGGAGAGTTTAGTAGGCTGTGTTATGTGGGCAGAGATCTTCCAGGTTGCCCAGGGCGAGGAAGAGGATTGACTTAAGGGACCCCACCCCGAGCCTTTGGTCTTAAGACCTAACCCGCAAGGCAGCGGGGCGATTAACGAAGGCCGTTGACATCCGGGTGGCTCCTTCGCCTTCTTTGTGTTCAGTAGCAGTCCACAGAGAAACCGGTGGCCAGCAAGGTTGTTCATCCGCTCTCCGTTATATACTCACCTCTGGTTACAGAAGTGAGTGGTCAGTGACCCTATAGCCGGTCACCTTGGCTTTGACACAGCGCCGTACGAGCTGTTGTGGTATTTGTTGGAGAACCAAGTGACCAGCCCAGAACCCCCCACCCTCTGAGACGGTGCCGCTGATTGTCCGCGACTGCTTATTCATCTCGCCTGCTAGGCAAACGGGACTTATTCGCAGTTACCTCCACAAGGAAGGCATTCCCTAATCCGCAACCTGGGGACGCGCCCGACAGCGCACAGCTCTACCATATACTTAAGCACTACAGATCGTATCAGGGTCTCTGGTAAGTTATTCAGACGCCTTTCCAACAACACGCTAGATTCAGTAGGATTACTACATTTCCCTTTGTTTGTTTCACTTCGTTGTGCACTCCGTTGTAGGGCCATGAAGTGCACTCTGGTGGAAGACTAGTTGATATTGATTCCGTGGACAGTGTTATCTTACTGTTTGGCAATCTCTAAAGTAGTCATATCCTTCAGCTTGTGATTCGCACTTTCAATGGGCTGTTGCAGTATCTTTGGCCGATTGATTATCCGTTGACGCTTTACGTCGAAAAACTAGAGGTAGTTGAGTAATTCGTCTACTTTGACAACTGTATTAGCAGTAATGTTGTCCACTTGACTACTGAAGTTAGCTTACCTGTTGAAGAAGCTGAAACTGTATTCTTACACCTATGATCTACGGGGCACCAAGCAGTGATTTCTCTTGGTCTCAAAGATTGCTTTTACAAAGCTACTTTGAGCTCCGTTCTCGTTTATGTTAGTGAAACTTGGTCCTTTTAAATCTCTAGGTCTTTGGTCTTCGTTCACTTTGTCGGATAGTACCAGCGTGTCCTCACCAATTATGTACGTAGGTGAGTGGTGAGCGGTATTGTACTGTGCTTCTAAGCCTCTAATGGGCATAGGCGACCCGCTTAACTGTTCTTACCCATGCAATTAGCCGTACCATAGGTGGTAGCACTGCGCGGTAGCGTTCCATAAGTATGGTAGTTAGTGTCTTTGGTAATATTAGTACCAAAGTTGTTTGAAGCATTGCCTCAGCTACAAAAACCAATCTCTGGGTCCGCCCCGTGCGCTGACCAGTCGGTTTTGTCTGACGATTCTCAATGGCCGTTTCCTGATATCGCCTCCCTGCTTGGATTGTTGGCAATCTGCCTCTACATTTTTGAGTCTTATCTGTCGTCATCATTATGATTCACGAATCATTGTGATGGTGTGCCATTGTTAATTGTTATTATCATAGTAAAGCGAGTTATGTTACTAGATCTCATGCTCTTCAGTTTTCCTATCTTACTTGTTTGGTCTAGCTGAGCTGAATTGGCTTTAAAGGACAGAACAAGCGTACTGTCTTTTGTTGTCTTTGCTTCGAAACATATTTCAAAATACCAAGCGCTGTGTTTTGCTTCAGTTACTGCGGCAATTTTCTCCAACCACCTCGAAATATTTTACTACATGATAATATGGATGGCTTATCTTGATCACCCTAAAATCTGTTCGTTTGTTCTTACGAGCTTGGTCGCTTACGCAAAGCCTTGCGTTCCAGCAGAATGGCAAACCCTAAGGTACCCAGAGAAAGTTAAATAAAACCATCCTTATGAATAACGGTAGACTATCTGTTGTTACTGTTACCGTTATACTGATTGTGAGTTGGAATGCTTCCTTGTTGCCGACACATGGACTTGTAGCTAGCGGCAGAAAAGCAAAGCTCCATAATGTGGGCCAATTTCTAAGATACGCAAACCATCGCACTTCCAACTCCAAAGCTAAATTGGGTGGATTTTGTTTATACGTCTCTAACCACTGACCTGATCTGGGAAAAGTAGCTTTTGGTTCACCTGATCAGCAAATAGGGCCCATCGGTCTCTGACTGCTCAACGTTTACCAGTGAGATAAACACTATCGGCTTACCGTGGGAAACGAAACTGACTTTCTGTTGTTATAGTTTCAGTACAACAGTGTGATGGGTCCAGTTGCTTTGACTCCCGCTTTCGGATCATTAAAAATGGAGATTTTGTTAAAACCCACATGTATTATGGCCCGGATACACAATCTTCCGAATTGTGCCACGTATAGGATTCACAAACAGTTAACTCTGTCCCTCGGTTACTTTTATCGTGTTTCCTTTTCTTTGAGGATTCATCCAACCAGAAGCAATCTAAGCAGCGGACCAATTCGCATTTACTGTACAAATCAATAAGGCCAACCGAACTAACCTAAATGATTCAGCACTACCAGAAGGTTAGATGCAGTACCGTGCAATCAGTTGCCAATCATTAGCTAGCGATGTCGTTACCAGATACTTCCTAACTCAGTGTGTTCTAAGACGACGTCTTTCTTATTATTTTCCTCTTGCAATGGCTGTATTCAAAAATGGCGGGAATGCGCTTGTCAACGAAATCCTATCACTCTTCACGAGAATTTGGACTGACGAGAAAGTCCCAATTGCTTGGGGAGAATCAACCATTGTCCCGATTCACAAAAAAGGCTCCTGCGAGGATTGCGCTAATTACCGCGGAATTTCGTTGATCACTGTTGCCTGAAAGATTTTCATGTTTGTTCTACTCCGCAGGCTCTCAGCGACTGGAGAAGGCGTTTACTGAGAGGAACAAGCGGGTTTCCGTCCAGGTCGAGGTTGCATTGATCATACCTTCACACTTCGCCAGCTGCTTGGATTCTGTCATGTCCACCGACGGCCAACGATCGTCGTGTTCTTGGATATCCGAGCGGCTTTTGATTTAGTAGATAGATCTGCCTTGTAGAACTGTCTACTGTGGAAAGGTGTGCCAGACAAGTTTCTAGCCATCTTGAAGGATCTCTACAGTCACACGTCGGGCAAAGTCAGGGCTTACGGCACGCTTTCCACTTCGTTTGCTGTCACCAGCGATGTGCGCTAAGGTTGCTCCATCTCACCTTTCCTCTTCTGTTTCTCCATTGATGTCCAACGAGCATTGGAAGGCCTCCAAAACTGCTGTATTGCGCTTCTCCCAGGTGACATAGTCGCGGACTTGGACTATGCCGATGATATCGCTTTGCTCGGGGACGATCCATAACCCGTCCAGAGCGCTCTGAACCGCTTAGAAATGGAGGCATCTAAGTATGGCCTGTGTTTCACGCCAGTCAAATGTGAAGTACTACTCCAGAACTGGCGGATGCCTGTGCCTGCTCTCATCATTGCTGTTAACCTCCTGGAACAAGTCCACTGCTTCACTTTGCTAGGAAGCTGCATCACAGCTGGCGACTGCATTGGAGATGAGGTCTCACAATGGATCGCCAAGGTCCGCGTTGTATTCATCAGACTGTCGCGACGTCAGTGTCAAACTCAAGGGCAGGGTATAGGTTGATACTGACCCGTGTGGTCCTCTTGTACGGTTGTGAGACCTGGCCTATTCCTTCAGAAGACATAAAACAATTGTCATCTTTCGACCATTGTTGCCTGCGTAGGATTGCTCGCGTGTGGTTGCAGCATCACATGAACAACCCAGAAGTCCCAGAGCGAGTGTTTGGAGCAAACAGCCCATGCCTCCAAACGGTTATTCTCCCACACCGCATGCGTTGGCTCGGCCACTTATTGCGCATGCCCACCTATCGCTTTCCCCGTCGACCCTTATTTGGACTCCCCGGAAGCGATTGGACACTGCCACCGTAGACATCCAATGACGTGGAGAAGGAGCATGATGAATGCAATCTCAAGCTTAGCATCCGTCGGATGGGTCCGCCTTCAAGGATGGGAACACGCGATTCGGACTGTCAGTGGTTAGAAACGTTGGAGACTATGGCGCAAAACCGGCATCAGTGGAGACAGTACCGTTAAGCCGTGTTATCTATTACTTAACGTTTCATCGAACATACAACCAACACAGTATCCTAAAACGACGTGTGTAAAACCCAAAGAAATCATTTTCTTCATTATGTATTTCGTTGCCCCCTTTATTTCGCCATGGTTCTGATGACATCTGTACTCAGATTGTGAATATGCTACTACTCTCGTAATGGTCTTGCATCTGATTCTTAGCACGACGCTGCTGGGCTGTTTCGCCGCAACGAAACCCACTCCGCTCACCCACATGACTTGTTTGCCCACTGGTAGCGTTCCACGACTCTACCAACATAAGTACCTGTTCAGATTCCATCGTAAAACTGGTCATCAACAACATATGGGGACGTCGTCCATATGTGCCTGTCATTACGTTGTACAGGTTGTGGTTCGATCGCGCTTTAATTAGATTCTTCAACATTTATCAAACATTCATATGTCGGACTTTCATGTGTCCTGTCCGCGATAACGAAGCATCAACACAACATTCTGGTTTATTTATTATCATCCTACCCCTTTTTATGATGAATAATTCGCTTTTGGTTTATTTGTGATCAACAGGGAGCGGGTCGTTCATATTCTCGCCTTACGACCGTACGGCCGACCGGAACTTTTGCTCCGTCTGACACGTGATGGACTTACACAATCCCAGAAAAATGAATTGGACGATGTGCTTTCTAAAGTTGGCCGCATGAACCGCAGCTGTGCGTATTCACTGGACCCCTCTGCTATATCTGAGTTAGATACGAATTGGCCTGGGTTCTCGACTTCTGAAAGAAACCGAATCATTTTGCTCAAGGTACGTACGTGATACATTTAAGCCAACTGTTTCTTCCAACTGTCCTTTTTTCAACAATGGTCTCACAGCCGTTCGCTTTTCCACCTCGTTGAACCTTTGCTTTTTTCCTCTACTTGAAGTTCATTTCTTTCCCTCGCTTGTATCTTCACCTGTGAATTTGATCACTGAGTATTTACATGCCCACAATGGTTATAGATTCTATAAGATGTGCGATGTTCTTCACTCGCCTCACTCTTAGATGGAGTTGTTTTGATAAATGGATTTCGTCCGAAATGTTGCTGTAGTGAGCAAAGTTACTTGCGTGTTTACTTGATTCAGCAATCATCTACGCTTATGAAGGGTACAAGTCACTTTTTATATAGTGTACATTCTTGTGTATGTAGACTTCCGGTAAAAAGATTTGGATTGCGCAGCGCTACAATCAGTCATGTGCAGAGGTTCGTAAGTAGTTACTCGGCATCTATCGAAGATATGCTTTAACGATTCCACTCATTCAGACGGTCTGAAACCATTGTGATCTCCCTGCTCGGCAGCATCGTTTTGATACACCCTTCGGTTTTTTATCGCTGAAGCTGGCATGGCACGCTCCACTGAATGCAGGCGAGGATGTTGATAGCTCACAAGGTATATATGCTTTGTTACGTAACTGAAACTGAAAACTAACTCGAGCATTCAAATGGGGAAAGTGCCAATCTCTACTGGTAGGAAATGTAATCTATTCAGGATGTAGAAATGAGAGAGTCTGTGGAATCCATTTGGTTCCGATTCTCCTTTCTTGGTGATGACGTGCTGTTTATGCAAATGAATGTACAAATAATAAGGACTAAAATGCAAAAATTTAACCAAATCGCCTCACTTTTCAGCTACTATGTGGATATTAGAACTGAAGAATAACCTTTAAACTATGCAAACCTTAATGCTGGATAGAAGTAATGATGAAACAAGAGGTTGTGTGAACGTAAAACAATGACTTTGAGACGCCTCATTCAAGTCAGGCGAAACGAGAGCGGATTGTAGAGTAGTAGTTAAAAGCAAAGTCTTACTTGTCATTGTGCGCATGGGCCTCCTAGGTATCCGGTGAATCCCTGAGTATAAGAAAGTGAAGTGTGCAAAACAAACTTAAATGAAGGTAGTATCATGTTTCAAATACATCGGTGCACTCGTGTTGTCACAAACTCACTATGATTCGTTGCGCCAGCAGAGCAAGAACCTAGATGTCGTTGGGGTGGAGCGACTCTTCGAGTCAGTGCATTTTGCTATTCATTAGATAGCGTTGGGCAATTCCTCATGTAACATGGTTATACCCACATATATATTGTGTATATTCACTATCTTCTTCTCTGTCAATTCTCAGTATAGTATGATACAAAACCCCTTTGAATCGCATGCCCTCCAAGTCGATGGTAGCCTGTTCTACCCAACTGCGTAGCGATTGAGAAGGTAATTTGCCAGCGTTGGGAGGAGCAGCGTCGAATCACTTCCATTTCGGATACGGTACTTGTGATCCTAATGATCGGGGTCTACTTCAAAGTGAACGGAGTTGTGAATAAAGATTGCGTGTCGCAATTCAACCACACAGCGAGTACTCCGAATCCACCTTTGAAGGAAATTTGTTCTTAGGCTAGTTGAACAATTTGTTCACTGATTAGCTGCATCTGTGAAGTGAACACTGTGTAGGCTCCTGTAATGATTCGAATGAGCGGTTGTCACACCTATGTGAATGTCCTCGTCTATTCCTCGGGTGCCTTAACTTGCGACACAGCACTCGTATAGAGTTAACCTAGCACCCACCAGCCATGGACGTAACTAAACCACATCGCGATCATTTTCGCTGGAGAGGTTGCGTTCAAAACTGCCGCTCGACTTGAAGCACAAGCGTGGATTCTGACCATATACCAGATCCGCGTAGGGGTGGGCGTCCTCGCGGTATACTCAGCCCGCGCGCGGCTGGTGGTGATCGCGCGGCAGCGAAGCGCCGTTACGGCGTATAAGCTGACACATTACATTTTTTCATTTATACCATATACCAGTATGCGGCTCGGCAGACCGCCGCGACAATTGGCGATGCCAGATGTTTTAAATGCAGCTAAAAGTACGCTAGCATTCGGGTTGAGTAATCGTCCATCAAACACAGTTGTAGATCACAGGTGTATCTTCATGTTCGTCAACCTTGGCATTGAGCCTGTACGCGGTCTATAGAATTTCTGGATGCTCACCGACACCTTCCAGCTTACTGGGGCACAACAAGGTTTGCAAAGATCTTAGGGCAAAGCCGCGTTTTAACCCGAGGGGAGATCTTCACCTTTGACTGTCTCCTCATGTGTCGGCGAGGGAAACAGCCACTGCTCATGGTAACGAAATTTATTTCTTTTGATCATCATCGTCACCATGACGAACCGTGAATGGATTACACTGTTTTCCCTCTTGCTATGTCTGCTGGCTTTACTGTCTCTGCTGCTCAACATCCGCTCACAGATCGTCCCACGTCCTGTTCCTCAACTCCACCTATGTCTTCTCCGGTCACCGTCAACAACAGCTCACTGGTCGCATCTGACAGAGTTCTGAGTCAAACGTTTGGTGCTCGTTGCCCGGTGGTCACAACATCCTCACACTCAACCGAAGCCCAACCTTCCCTTCATCCTGCTTCTCCATTCGGTTTTGCAGCGTTCAATGTGCGCACTCTGATGCAGATCGCACGACAAGCATTTCTAGCCCACACCCTTGAGACACTCAGTGGACATATGTTGCCTTTCGGAAATCAAGTTTGCAAGACGCCAGTACCATCAGAATCACATCTGGCAAATCCTGACGTCAAATACCACTTGTGCTTTTCCGGAAATCCAGAGGCTACCGCTTCTGACTAAGCTGTTGTCGGGGTTGCACTTGAGTGACTGAGTCAGCAGTCGGCTGTGTGCAATCAGACTACGAAGCTCATCTAAATTAACTAGGCGTCGAGATGTTACGCGTGCCTTCTTTATCATCGCCTACACTCCTACAGACTGCAGCCCGGATACCGTCAAGGATTGCTTTTGCCGACAGCTACATAAGCTTCTGCGATCCGCTAGAAAGTCTGACATTGTCATTCTTGCCGGAGATTTTAACGTACGAATGGGCCGCCTGCCACCAAGCGAGCGCCATCTTAAGGGTAGTTTTGGTCTCGGTAGCAGCCGATCAGACAATGGAGACAGACTACTGACTCTGTTCTGATTATCGCTCGTTTCTTTCGGCTACAAGTTTTCATCATTCGACAAGACAGACTGCTACCTGGCGTCCGCCTTCTCAAACACAAGTATGGTCCCAGCTTGACCACATGGTAATAACCTGCAGATGGCGCGGAAGTGTAACAGACCGCCGATCGAACTAGTCAACTTCTCTGGACTCCGATCACGCACTGGTTCGTGCCAAAATTTGCATGCGTTTCGGAGGACCATCCAGACGTACGCACTACCGACCGAACGTCGGAAGTCTGCAACATCCTGGGACGTTAGCGAAGTACCAGGCTTCTCTGTCAACACTACTTGCTTCATTTTCAGACGATGATCTTAATTCGCAATGGATGCGTAACAAAGACGCTTTAATTTCTGCCAGTACCGTCAGTTGTGGATTCGCTTGTCACCCGCCGAAAAGCTGGATCACCACTGCCTTCTTGTCGCTGTTGGACAGATGCCGCTTGATCCTAGCCGACACCAGCTGTAGTGAGGTACGTCGATCCCTTGATCGCGCGTTGCGTAGGAGCATACAGAAGAACCCTGAGATCTATGGTGTGAACATTCTGGAGAGCTTGGACTTGCTAATCTCTCTGGTAATACCAGAATACTGTTCTACCTCATCCAACTCACCAAAGGCTTCCGATCTGGAGTAAGCGAAACAATCTGTGAAGATGATGACTCCCTAATCACTAATCATCAATGACGGTTGGAGCGATGAGCGGAACATTTTCGCACACAGTTTTCCTGGCCACCAACTCCATCTGTTTCTTCAGGGGCGCGCACTGGTGATGAGTGGACTATCCCAACTGACTCTATCTCTCACCACGAAGTCTGGCAGGAATTATGCTACCTAAGGCGTTATAAGGCACCCAGCCCTGTTAGTCCACCTCCTGCTCTATTTAAAGGTGCGGACTCTTCGCTGCTTCGAGAACACTGCTTTGTTTTCGGAAGTCTGGACAAAAGAGAAAGTTCCGTCATCCTGGAGTGAGTCGATACTCGTCCCCATCTTCAAAAAGGACCTGCACACAAATTACTTCGATTACAGGGTCATAAGTTTGGTTCCCATCGTTTTTAAGATTCTGGTGTCCATCATACTTCGCAGGCTATCCCAAACGCGTGAATCACTACAGCGAGAACATGCTGGGTTCCGCGCTGTTCGCGGCTGCATCGATCAGATTTTCACACTCCGCCAGATTCTCGAGTTCCGCCATGTGTATCAAAAGCCAACTATTGTTTTGTTCCTGGATATCCGTGCTGCCTTCGATTCTGTCGACAGGGCTGCATTTGTGGTACTGTCTGCTGAGGAATGGTATTCCAGGGAAGTTCGTTTCCATTCTGCGTGCTCTGTGTAGTCTGATCTCGGATAGAGTTAGGGCTTATGACAAGTTTTCACCTTCCTTTGTTGTCACCAGTGGGGTTCGACAAGGATGCCCTATATCTCCATTCCTCTTCAACTTTGCCATTGAGGATGTCCTCGAAAATGATCTAGAAGCTTTGTTAAACGTTGGCGTTGAGCTCCTCCCAGGTAGTGAGGTGATTGATTTGGATTACGGTGGTGCTATCTTCTTGTTTGGTGACGGTTTGCAAGTCGTCCAACTTGCACTTAACCGCCTGGCTATTAAAGCGTCGAAGTATGGCATGCACTTTACACCATCCAACTGCAAAGCACTTTTTCAAGACTGGTATACGCCCCTACCTACACTCACCATCGATGGGGAAACGTTAGAAGTGGTATAGAGTTTTGTCTACCTGGGAAGCTGCGTAACTGCTGGTGGGGCTGTTCAAAACGGG